CTGATATTCTATGATTCTATGATTCTGTGATAAAGGGGCTGATTTTCAGAACATGCTTGACCACTCTCCCAGGCACTGTGAGGGCATCTCATGTTCCATACCCCAAAAGGGAGACATCCAAATGATCTAATTTGAAAATCATTACCAGAGTGTTTAATTACACAAAATGCAGTGGAAACCCTTGGGCATCTCAGACTTGATTTGCAGCAGCAGTGTAGATGTGCCCAGTCTCATTAGAGCGTGCATTGCATCTGGCAGGTCAGTAAATTTCCTAGTGCAGATAAGATCCACGAGTCAAGCTTTCTCAGGCAGACCCCACTGTACAGCCTCATTTGGATATCCCTTATCCTGCTCTAGGTCAGGAGCAACTCCTGTGAAGTCAAAGGAGTAACAAGGGATGCAATAAGAGGTTAGACAAACACCTGTCAAGATGGACCTCTCCCTCCACTCTAATGTTCTTCTTCCTGTGTCACCATTGTGAGTGAGGTCCCAATCAGCTAGCTGGACCTGGATGCGCTCTTTACCACTGTGCTCTGTGGCAGGCTTCCACATAGCAAGCCCCTTAGTCCAGCCTAGCAAAGAGCTGCAATTCTTTGGTGGCATTGATTCATCACTTCCATCCACTGCTCGTAGATGGTGTTATGACTGGCTGGTGATTTTCTACGTACTCCCCATTGTAGCTCGCTAAGGACCCAATGCTGCAAGCAGACATGCTTAATTTGAAGCTCATGCTGATGACTCCAGGGTTTTCTTTAGGCTAGACAATAGGAAGTGATCATTCCTGGCTATGGGGGGTCCTTCCAGGGAGTTCACAATGCAATTAGGCAGCTCTAGTATTTTGGATATCAATCAAGGATTCATTACTAGAACTGGTGTGATAACTGCTAAGCTGGGTGTGTGCAGGCGTAGGTTGATTAACACCTGGAGCAGAGATTCCCCCATGATGCATTGCTTCCTGCTGTTCTGGTCCCAGAGCTCAGTGCGGTTCTTGCCTTGGAATCTCTGTTCTGCATTCCGTGTGCTAATGGAGATGCCTCCCTGTCCCATCTTTGATGCAGATGAGGCTAGGGGAGTTGCCTTAATCCTGTCCCCCTTGTCAGGAGGGGTTTAGGTGTGTCTCCCACTGCCTTTTATTGCTTTCTGTAAGTCTTTCTTCTGATCGGTTTTGGTTCAAGCAGAGGCTGGTGGGAGGGAGTGTCCCTCATGAGTCAGACAGGCTGGATACTGCACCCCGGTTCCCCAAGAACACAGAGCTGACTGGTATCGGGCAGGGCCATTGTTTAATGCTATTTTTTTCTTACATCTGCTAAATTAATAGGGCTTTAGCCGGGCACCTTGGTGGCCTCCAATCCTGGGGCCGGCCTATGGCTCAGTTCAGCCCTCCCATTACAACTTAGGGCAGCCTCGGAGCTGCACTGAGTCACAGTGGATCGACAGCCCCTCAACAGCTGGGGATCCCTAGTGGTGCTATCGCCACCTAGAGGGAAAGATGTAAAACTGGAATAGAATTCTTGCTCTTTGCCAGAATAATGAATATCATCCCATGAGGGCTGGTTGGTTTGTGTATTTAAATACTATTGTTTTGGGATGAGGCTGTAGTGTGCTGGGCAAAGCTCAACAGAGCACAAGGCCACTCTGTCCACACCCCCTTTTCTCTGGCCCCACCCCTAAACTGGCAACCGGCTAGAGCTAATGGTGTAGATATGGCTACCCCTACTCTATGTTACCCAGCAACTCACCCATGGCAGGGGACTTCTCAACTTGGTGACTGGGTTGGCTTTGTGCCCCCTTCGTGCTACCAGCCTGGTGCATGGGGGCCGGAAAGGGGGGAAGGATTTGGATCATCCTGGAAAATCATATGAAGTGCAAGGTAACATCCCACAGTGGAAAGGAGGGTGTCTGTCTTTCTGAGAGTACAAGAGACAGAGCTTTCCCCAATTCCACCCTCACCCCACACCTCACATTCATAAGTGGTTGAGGGACTTATTTCTCTTTCCACCATGAGACATTCATTCACCATAACAGGACTTCTCTGAAGACATGCTGCACCATTAGCAAATTCAGACTGAAAATAAGGCACCCATTTTAAGAGTGAAGGTAAGTAACCACTGGAACAATTTACCAAGGGTCGCGGTGGATTCTCCATCAAGGACAATTTTTAAATCAAGATTGGTGGTTTTTCTAAAAAAAATCAGCTCTCGGAATGATTTGGGGGCAGTTCTCTGGCCTACGTTGTACAGGTAGTCAGACTAGATGATCACAAAGGTCCCATCTGGCCTGAAAATCTATGAATCTAGGTTCTGACAGAGCCTTGCTCTCCTGTGTGACATCACTAGAAGGCAGGGGATCATCCTAGAATCATAGAATGTTAAGGTTGGAAGAAACCTCAGGAGGTCATCTAGTCCAATCCCCTACTCAAAGCGGGACCAACACCAACTAAATCAAGAATGCACATTCTGTCTTCCTTAGCTTGACCAGGGACAGGGGGCTGCTGCAAGGACATTCTCCATGGGAGTGATTGTTCAGTAAAGGCCCATCTGTACTACAGAAATAACCAAGTTGTGGGCTCTATAGGAAGAGAATTCAACTTTGCCGTGCTCTTGAGCTGATGGTGTTGTAACTGAGTCATGTCACAAGACTAAAGCTCTTGACTTACGAGGAGAGGCTGAGGGAACTGGGGTTATTTAGTCTGCAGAAGAGAAGAATGAGCGGGGATTTGATAGCAGCCTTCAATTACCTGAAGGGGTTTCCAAAGAGGATGGAGCTTGGCTGTTCTCAGTGGTGGCAGATAACAGAACAAGAAGCAATGGTCTCAAGTTGCAGTGGGGGAGGTCTAGGCTGGATGTTAGGAAACTCTGTTTGATTAGGAGGGTGGGGAAGCACTGAAATGGGTTCCCTAGGGAGGTGGTGGAATCTCCATCCTTAGAGGTTTTTAAGGCCCAGCTTGACAAAGCCCTGGCTGGGATGGGATGATTTAGTTGGGGTTGGTCCTGCTTTGAGCAGGGGATTGGACTGGATGACCTTCCTGAGGTCTCTTCCAACCCTAATCTTCTATGATTCGAAGACACTTATGTTATTGGACAAGAGAGATTCCCTATCCCAAAGGGCACTGACACTGATGAGCGAGAGCTACAGGAGGAGGTGGAAGTGGCTGAGAACCAGAGGCAGAAGAGGAGAGGGGGGCAGGGTGAAGGAGCTGAGAGGAGAACACTGAAGATGGACAAGTTAGAGAAAGAGAGAGGAGTAGGAAGATGGGAAAGGGGATGAATGGAAGGAGATGCAATTCTAGATTTTAACCTTACAATTTACCCCGGGGGGGGGGGGGGGCCCCGGGACCAGTGTCCTAGAGTATGGGTTGGAAGGCCCAGTGGGTACCCGCTGAAGCAGGACCATCCAGTCACCCACCAGGAGACCAGAAACAATCACAGTTTCTGTCATGCTTAGTGGGGGAGGTTCCTCCCACTCCTTGTCATCTCCCCCACCCGCTTGCTTCCAGAGGGGTCTATTGGGTGAGCAGCCCCTGCCATTTCCATCATGGCCAGAATCCATGATTTGAGCATCATTGAGCAAGGGGCAAGGGGAGAGGCCTTATTCTCCCTTGCTGAGGAAGGACTGTGACAATCTAGCCCTGAGAGAGGGGGCAGGGAGAATGGAAATCATGCGAGGAGAAAGTCACCATGGAAAGACTTAGGGGAAAGAGATGGGGAGATGTGAAAGGGAGGGGAGAGAAGGGAGAATAAAAAATAAGAATAAAGGAGCTGTTGCTGGTTAATATTATTATTCATCAGGGTGCGTGGGGGTCAGCGTGGGATAGCAGACCGATTCCCAGGTGTGTTTGCTGTAATTAGAATCATGGGGTTGGAAGAAGGATGACAACGTCATTTTGTAGGACAAGAAGGGATTTGGAGACCCGGAGATCTTCCACTGGGGTAACTTCATTGACATCCCATTTTCTCCCTCAATCTCCTTTCCTCCCCACGCCCATGATAGTCATCACACCCACGCCACTTGTCCCCCAGCGCACAGTGAAAGCAGCAGAATGAAACGTACCCCTAGCTCTGCCCTGGGTAACTGTGCAGACATGGGACCGTTTAATAACAAAAGGAGCAAAGAGTGCAACAGATTAAACCCCCAGTGTACGAGTTACTTTGGAGTAGCTTTGGCCGACCCAGTGTGTTTTAATTGTGTGTTGTGCGCCTTGGTGAACCTGATTGCTTCAGGGATCAGGTCCCCCAGGTCACCAAGAACAGTGTAAAACCTCCTGAATTCTCCCGAGTAGCAGCTTCTCTTGATGGGGGAAGCAAAGATATATCTCTCTGTCTTCTGCAGGTCCATGCAGTTGGACTGAATCATGCTTACATACAAATTCAGACACTGTGGTCATCACCCGGGATTGAACCAAGATCTTTGGAAGCCAAAGCATCACGTTCCATGCCTTGTGCTAAAGGAAAAAACCCTCATCTTTTGGAGAAAGCAGCAGTTTACAGGTGCCGGGGGCGGGGGTGGTGTGGTGTGTGCATTATGTTATGACTCTGGGATTTCATACCAAGTAATGCAAAGCCCATTTTCATTTTCTGAACAGGCTTAATGATCACACTAAGTAACCCAGAACTGAAATGGCAGAGCCCACCTTGTATGAATTGGGAAGAGCGCCGCTTGGCACAAACTCTCACCCCTTGTTTTCAGCCCGACTATTTCAGTGCAATAGTCAGAAGTCACTGTTTGCTGCTGTGTGTAGGAACAGCCATGCCCATGTGTGGGGCATAGTTAACCCACTGGTTCTTACATTTCGGCTGTGTGTCCATTTTTTCAGATAACTGGAATGATCGGCTCTGAACCTCTGGCTCTGTGGACTAAGGCCTTTTCTTGATTCAGCAGGGGAGTCCCCTAAGAAACTAACCTCCATAATTTCTTCCCTTCCTCTCCTTCTAGGGAGGGGATAGAATTCCTGAGCCACCTGCCTGGCCACGTCACTGCAGCTCCCTGGTCTTGGTTCAGAGGAGATGAAAAAGGGAAATCACTCAGTGGTGACGGAGTTTGTTCTCTCAGGACTGACAGATCGTCCAGAGCTTCAGGTCCCTCTCTTTGTGTTGTTCCTAGTGATCTACATTGTCACCTTGGTGGGGAATCTGGGGATGATCGTGTTAATCAAGATTGACTCCCGTCTCCACACCCCCATGTACTTTTTCCTCGGTCATTTGTCTTTCTCTGATCTCTGCTATTCCTCCATAATTTCCCCTAGGATGCTGCTGAACTTCTTAGCCGAGAGTAAAAGGATTTCGTACAATGCCTGCGCTGTGCAAATGTATCTCTTTGGTACTTTTGGTCATGTAGATTGCCTCCTGCTGGCTGTGATGGCATACGACCGTTATGTGGCCATCTGTAACCCGCTGCTCTATACAGTCACCATGTCCCGATGGCTCTGTCATCAGCTGGTGGCTGGGGTGTATGCCGTGGGCTTGCTGGACTCAATGGTACACACCGTTTTTACTTTTCGTTTATCATTCTGCAACTCCAATGCCATCAATCATTTCCTCTGTGATGTTCCTCCGGTATTGTCGCTCTCCTGTTCCGACACACGCGTCAATGAGATTGTGATGTTTGTCTCGACTGGCTGCTTGGTCGTGAGCAGCATTGTGATCATTCTCCTCTCCTACGCATATATCATCATCACCATCCTGCGGATCCGCTCCGCCGAGGGCAGGCGCAAAGCCTTCTCCACCTGCACCTCCCACCTGACGGCCGTGGCCATGTTCCATGGCTCCCTCCTCTTCATGTATTTCCGACCCTCCACCAGTTACTCCCTGGACACTGACAAAATAGCCTCTGTGTTCTACACGGTGGTGATCCCCATGCTGAACCCCTTGATCTACAGCCTGAGGAACAAGGAGGTGAAAGATGCCCACTGGAAAGTGATGCACAAATTGCTCACTTTCTCTTGAGCCTGTTTACTCCATACTGCGTTACTGATTGGGAGGTGGAAGCAGGAGAACTCAGTTCCTGCTCCACTGCAATCTCATTCCTCATCATGCAGGTTATCACTGAGCTTTATTTGGATTGTTTTTTTTTTTCTTTTATTGTGTTCCAACAATGTCTGGCAGCCCCAGAAAGGTTCAAGAAGGTTGTGACGCTTTCTGGGGGAATTCAGGATTGTGAGTCACCCTGTCTCTCCCATGTATCAGTGAGCAAGCGACTTGCAGGGGCTAAATTATTTTTGTCAGCTCTCGGACTAGCCAGCTTGTTGACCCTCCTCCATCCCCGCCCTCCAACCATTCTCCTCCAAAGCTCAGCCAGCCTTTACTTTGCCTCACAGGTCACCTCAGTTGCACTCCAATCCTGAAAGCTCCTTGAAACGTGTTCCTCGGCAGTATCCAGCCCCTATCCCTGGGCTGTCACCGAAATGACTGAGTCCCCTGTCTTCAGAGAGATAGTATACACCCCAGCCTGCTAGATCAGCTGAGGATTCACGCTTTAATATATTACACTGAGATGAACTGAGAGTCAAACCAAGAATACCTTTACTAAAAATGAGCAGAGGTTTAAGCAAAGATAATAGAAACAGAAAATGGTTCCAAATGAAAGAAAAAGTACAATGCATTTTCTCCTGACTAAAACTCAACAGGCTGCAATCCTTATCTGAGGGCTTATCTCCACTACTAGGTGGGTCAATGCTGCAGCGATCGATCCACACCAAACGCACTCCCGTAGACTCCTGGTACTCCATCAGAACGAGAAGAGTAAGGGGAGTTGACGGGGGAGTTTCTCCCTTCGACCCAGCCTGGTGTGGACCCCATGGTAAGTAGATCTAAACTACTTTCAACTTGAGTCACGCTTCTAACATAACTCAATTTGCGTAGCTAGGCTTGACTTTTCCCCGGAGCGTAGACCTGCCCTGAGACTGTTTCTCACTTAAAGGCACCTCCTCAGTGGTACCAACCCACATGGCTGGGGATCCGCTGTTCATGGACCTCTTTGTCCCCCTCAGTGATGAAGCACAAAATGTCTTTTCCCCTTCTTCTTATAGTCCCGTATACCTTTGAAATGTATTCTTGTACCTCCAGAGTTCCTCTGCCCTGCGGGTGTGTGGATGCCTTGCTGTCTAGCTGGTTTTCTCACCCTGTTGTTAATGGGCTTTTCCAGTTGACTTCAAATGCAAATATAATTCCCATTGTCTCTGGCCTACCCTGTTCCATTTACATTGGAGACCTAGGCAGACCGATATGTCAAGATGTCTGGGAATGGCTGAAAAGTGTAAATACCAACCCAAGGGCAGCCTGTTAACAACCAGGGCACAAACCCCAAATTAGCTGTGAGTTCTAG